ACAGTTGCTGAATAACATCAACGATCTTCAGTTATGATGTCATTTCTATTTGATGTCAGTCTGACCTTATGCATCAGTAACATTTGAATACCATCAATTATTCTGCCTGTATGATATTTGCAGTAGTTAACTGGTAATGAATGTATGTATGTAATGTTACAGTAAGGCCTTGTTTAGGTCATGGACTGGTATTATGGCATGTAGGACTTGTTACAATGACTAGAGTGGAGATAACATCATTGACAGGTTAGTTGGTGAAATAACATGAACAGGGTGCCATTGTACAAAACAACCTTAGCGTTAAGACTACCTTAAGTCTGTGTTATGGTATGGGAGTTATGGTCACCTTAGCGCTAAGATCGCTTTGTAGAAGCTACCTGGGTGCCGTTGTACAAAACGGTCTTAGCGCTAAGGTGACTGTAACTCCCATACTTTAACATAGACTTAAGGTAGCCTTAGCGTTAAGGTTGCTTTGTAGAACGGCACCCTGGTAAATACCATGCTGGTGAAAAAGCGTTATTTGAATATTCTTGGTATCAGTAGGCCATTAGTCAGTGATGCCACAATGTTCTGGGCAGAGTTGTGTCCCTTGTTTGTGCCATAATAACTGCTTTGAAGAGTTATGACAGTTGCTTTGGTAGCCCAGGGCCCCCAAATTACAGTCATTGGCCTGCCACCCCAATACCTCTGGTAATCGTAGGTAATTTCAGATTTCCAAGATTACATTTTCTGAATGTTTTCTAGTGTCTGCCAACAACCAAAACAAACAAATAGTAATGAAAAAGGAATAAGTTTGTTCTTTTTTAAAATTCATTAGATGCTAACTCTTAAAATCCCCTAACAATAGTAGCTACAATGCATCAAACTTTGAGTCTGACAACCAAAAATGAAAGTAGTAATTTTTCTCCAACCCAACAAGTTTTTCAGTGATAAATCTTTGAACTTAGCAATATAAGATGTCACATAACAGTAAACCCATCTCACAAACTATGCACGTTGACTGCGTACTCGCTTATGTACAGTCATTCCAGGTGTAATATGAATTGCAAAAAAACAACAGTTAAAAAGCAGTGTAACCAAATCCAGGCATGATGTGGTAAACCACACTGTGGAAGCTTGCGGCCACACACACGTCCCAGCACAGCTGGGATATAGAGTGACATAGGGACTTCTACACCAAACAAGAACCCTTGCTGGGAGTCAATTACCAACAGTCATGCTTTGTGGTTTAATGCATAAGTAATAGCACATACATCAACTGTTGTAATCTTCTTGAGGGTTAGTTAATTAAGACCCATGTTCAAGCATACAAGCATAACTTATGCCGTATTGTTCAGAGTACGCTAAACCCATGTACAACATGAGTTTTTCCTCAACATGTTTAAAACATAGGTGTTCGTATCATGAATTTGGGGGCACGAGGGAATCAGTAATTTCAAATTCACTCCGATTATTCTTCTGGGTTTGTCAGCGCCATAACTGGGGTAGCCGAGTGGTTAAAGTGTTCACTCGGCACGCCGAAGACCTGGGTTTGATTCCCACATGGGAACAATGTGTGAAGCCCATTTCTGGTGTCCCCACCATGATAGTGCTGGAATATTGTTAAAAGCTTAGTGAAACTAAACTAACTCACTCACTCCACTTGTGGGTTTCAGCATCTGCATCACTTTGACTGACTGACTGACTGAGTATGGTTTTACGCCGCTTTTAGCAATATTCCAGCAACATCACGGCGGGGGACACCAGAAATGGGCTTCACACATTGTACCCATGTGGGGATTCGAACCCGGGTCTTCGGCGTGACGAGCCAAAGCTTTAACCACAAGGCATCACTTTGAGCTATCCCCAACATTAAGCTCCCTTGAGTTTGTGGTATATACTGTTTTGAGGTTGGATCATGTTCAACCAAATCACATACTGATCTATTGTTTCTCAGATTCATTGACTTGTCATAATTAAACTACCATCATAAGTAGAGACATGTCAGTCTAGTATACGGACTACCTGCAGACACTGTTGTGTGTGGGAGTATTTTATGAAATGAAAATAGTTTTATATTTTCTATTTAAATTCAAAATAGACAAGTAAATACAAGCAAACTTTTAGTTTCTATTTCCCCACTATTCAAGGTAAATGATGCATTGAATAATGTAGATAATGTTGCTGCTTTTGAGTTCATAAGACTGCTGGGTTTTTTTCCTTCTTCACCAGTCTCAGCAAGGACTTCTTTACCTCTTACAAACAGGTAAACAAAGCCAGACTAGACCTTGCTCTACTTGAGAAGACTTCAAATAATTACAAACTTTAATCGGTTATGCAGAATAAGTTGTGTTTCACCAAGTACAGGATATTTCAAAGAAAAAGGATTTTCCTGTTTCTATAAAGGAAACATTAGGAAGCATCTTTAAGTCATATAGCTTATGTTAATGGTTGTATATTTCAACCCACTAATAGCCCTCACAACCCTTGATGAAATAATTAACCGATAGCCATATGCTTATTGCAAGTTTTCATCTGTTTGAGATTGCGAGTAGATTTGACATTTCAGCATCTGAATATAGATTGGCCTTTGACGTGTGTTGCAGTGTACAAGCTGGAAGTCTTTGAACATAGATTTATGCATGGTCTTGTCAGTCATGCATGTGATGTATGTTAATGACAGTTTAATGATACCATGTGTTATTGGTTGATGTTAAAATTTACATGATACACGACACTTGGAGGAAATAGTCAAGGACTGGATGTCTGTGATAGCTGTTAGGCCACATTTTATGAAAATGGTTTACAGATCCACCAGACTTAAAAATAACCATGAAATACTAATCTTACACATAAACACTACACTGGCAATATATTTTCAAATAACTAAACTGTATTTGTTAAGTGATGGTTTACTTCCAACCTATTTACCGTGAGTCTTCTCATGCAAATCTGTAAACTGACAAATAATTAAACTTTCAGATTTATTCCTGACCATCTGCATTCACACCACTGAAGTGTCAGCATTTGAATTCACTGCATGCATAGTTATATCCCTAAATTTCCTCCAAGTCCATAGACATAAAAATGAATTCCTCTGATTAATATAGTCAACAAGCCATACAAAACACTGAAACATTCTCACTCTGCTATATTTCAATTCAATTATAATGCCGATGTGAATTAAAGTGACCAAAACAATTCTATAGTCGGACTATATCATAAGTATGTGTTTATAAATCTCTATCATACAGTGATGAGACCAGTTTTGTGAAATGGTGAGTGTAACCAGCCTCACCTGACATAAACACATGTAAAGGCATGCCAATTGTCATCTGACAACAAAAACAGGCCTCACTTGACATAAACACATGCAAAGCCATATCAATTGTTTATCTGGAAAAAAACAGGCCTCACTTGACATAAACACTCACAAAGGCATGTCAATTGTTCACCTGAAAAATAACACAGGCCTCACTTGACATAAACACTCGCAAAGACGTCAATTGTTCATCTGAAAAAACACAGGCCTCACTTGACATAAACACATGCAAAGCCATATCAATTGTTTATCTGAAAAAACAGGCCTCACTTGACATAAACACTCACAAAGGCATGTCAATTGTTCATCTAAAAAAAAACACAGGCCTCACTTGACATAAACACTTGCAAAGGCATGTCAATTGTTCATCTGAAAAAAAACCACAGCCCTCACTGGACATAAACACATGCAAAGACATGTCAATTGTTCATCTGAAAAAACACAGGCCTCACTTGACATAAACACTCACAAAGGCATGTCAATTGTTTATCTGAAAAAAACCCACAGCCCTCACTTGACATAAACACATGCAAAGACATGTCAATTGTTTATCTGAAAAAACACAGGCCTCACTTGACATAAACACTCGCAAAGGCATGTCAATTGTTTATCTGAAAAAACCCACAGCCCTCACTTGACATAAACACATGCAAAGCCATGTCAATTGTTTATCTGAAAAACACAGGCCTCACTTGACAAACACTGCAAAGGCATGTCAATTGTTTCATGAAAAAAACACAGGCCTCACTTGCCTCAATTGTTCATCTGAAAAACACACACTCATACACAATGCAAAAGCATGGGTTTTGTTCATCTGAAAAAACCCACAGTAACACTCAAAGTGTAACAGGAAATTGCATCATACAGTGCATCATGATTTGGAAATCCATGCCATAAATGTTGTAAAAATAAAGCAAAGAGTTGTCCACTAACATATACAAAGGACAGTTAGAAATTACATTGCTGTGGGTCAACGAGGTCATCTTCAAAGACAACACATCAAGAGAGGCATGAAATAGACAATGGCAATTTTTCTCCATGGCAACGAAGCAAGTAGCCATGCAGCTTTAAAAGTTCAGCTTGGTATTTGAAACACTTAATGAGTAAATTGGTTGAAATGAATGACGACCCAAGCTAGACTGTATATCCCCAAGCTGTGTGAATTCCTGGTTATGTAGTCAAGTCTGACAGACTGCAATAAACGCTGTAATTATCCTGACATTGAATCACTCACCATTATTTGTCCTGGTAAAATGTTACGTGTATCGACTTTGAATTCAAAACCAATTCTAGGGATGAACATGCCAAGGATGAGTGTTGCTTGACGGACTGTGGCTACTTTTACACCTCTTGGACATTTTACTTTTAATCACACCTTTCTGTTTTGGTGAAAGGAGTTTTGAATTTTTACTTCAACAAGATGTTTTTAAGAGTGGTTGTGTGGCCGGATTCTTTCTGTGATTGCAGCGTGGTAAGATATAGACCATGATTATGTTTGAGCTTTCATGGGCTTGGGAACAGTTTGCTCTTTGTGGTAATTGTAATTTGGTGGTTTTTCTTTTCTTTTTGGGGGGTAGGGATGGGATGGGAGATGGTGTGTGTTTTTTTAGGTGTTTGTATTGTTGTTGTTGTTGTTGTTGTTAAAGTGTTCTATGTAAACATACTGTATGATGCTAATGGTTGGGTTCTATCATTGCAGGTGACATTTCGTCTGTTGGAGGCGGAGAAGAGGAAGTTAGCGGTGCTGCAGCGGGAGCTGGGTCTGCATCTCAGCGGACCAGGGATACAGAAGGTGAGATCCCACTCTGTCAGATGCAGCTGACACTTTAGGTCTGGTGTTGATCAAACCATCTTGGGAGTTTGTATATTATAGTAGGAGGAAGGGGTTTTGCAACAGTGAAGGACATGTCTCGGTAAGACTTCCGCACGTATCCCCTAAATTCTAAAGATGAGGAAAAATTTCTTTGAGTGGCACTTTTAGAAGTTGGATATGTCTTTCATTATGTTCAGATACAATTAAAGAAACATGTTAAAATTTTCATCCATCAGCTGAGGAATATATATTCAGGTGATATGTTTTGACTAGAAAGAAATTTAAGGGTTGATACGGGCGGAAGTCTTACCCATGTCTCATGATCTGATGTTCTGGGTCTTGCAGGAGTGAGATCTTACCAATCATGTCGGACCAGTCTGCTTTTTCTGTTGATCAATGGTCTGGTTATTGTAGAAGTAAGAGGTTACCAATCATGTCGGACCAGTCTGTTTTTTCTGTTGATCAATGGTCTGGTTATTGTAGACGTAAGAGGTTATCAATCATGTTAGACCAGTCTGTGGTCTACTCATTGCAGGGTTAAAAATGGGGGAGTATCAATCATGACAGACAAGTCTGGTGGTCTGTGGTCTGGTCATTTGTTACTTCATAATTACGTTAAAGGTAAATATGTATGCAGACACACTAAAACTTTGACTTCAAGGTGATGCTGTATATACACATGTTTTGGTGAACTGAAACATATCCCTTCATAAATTCAATTCTTATTTGCAATTATTAACAACATTTATGAATTGTTTTAAAAAGGAGTGTTTTTACTTGCATTTGAGTGTTATTTATCAGGAGATATACTAAATGGAATAGATCCACGCAAGTCAGAATTATAGTCAACACTCTTACATGTTTAATTTGATAGTAATGTGGTGACTGGTCATAAATTGCCAGGAATATTCTCTCAGTCAAAAGCAGTTGGATAGGATTTAGGCATCTTCAGTTACCCATCATATCTCTATTGTATTTCTATTAATGCCATAGGTCCATTCTCCAACATCACATCATCTTGAATCAAATCTGCACTGTGTGTCATTTAAAATACCTATATGAATAAATATCTCAGGACGAAACATTTCTTCTGCTCATCAAGTTTCCCAGATGAACAATTTCTCAAGGTTACAAAGTGTAAAGTTATTCCAAGTTCAGCGACACCGGATGTAAACACGAGAATATTCCACACAACTCATGACCTCACAGCATCTCTGTGAATCACACATAGACCAAGATTCCCAGGATGAGATCGATACAGCGCCATGTGATGGTCTTGTCACAACTTACAACAACGGTGTGGGAAACAGCTGACTCCAACTGCTTACATTCCATGCTAGTTCCATTGCCAGTTAATCCATCTCACCTTGACTTCATACCTGTTACATTGATCATTGCTGTGATGCTGAAGGAACTGTCTGAGGAATGGTGGTGTGGTGTCCGCTTCACATTGGCAACTCCTGGTTGCCAAAGGTGGTAATCCAGGCACATTCCAAGCGGGTTCTCAAGAACACCCTTCTATCACTATAGACAGGATTAATTCCCAATGAAAGGACATTACCCCTCCACACTGTGTGAACTTGTCCTTCTCCTATGCATCTTAACAAATGCAGACCATTTTCACTCATTAACCATATGTTGTTACACCTTGGTGTGTCACTGTTTCACATTGGTTCTCAAGCTCATGTTATTGCTGTAATCATACAATCAGTTCTGTGTTGGCAGTCATTTCTTCTGGATGTGGAAAGGGGTTTTGTTGCTTTTATCCATATATGAGAAAAAATTAATAAATGATTTGAACATATGCAAGGTGCAAGTTCATCAATAATAATAATAATAATAATAAATGTGAACTTATAATGCGCCTTTTCCATGCACAAGGCCCATGCTCAAAGCGCTAACAAAGTGAGTGGATAATATACATATATACAATAAGGGACTAGTTGCTAGTCATAATGCAGTGAAAACAGATGAGTCTTGAGAAGTTGTTTGAAGGAATAAAAGTCAACTGCTGATTTAATGGTGATAGGGAGAGAGTTCCAGAGTAAAGGGGCAGAGCAGACAAAGGATTTCCTTCCAAAAGTTTGCAGTTTGAACCGAGGCACAGAGAGTAGGTTCAGATTCTGAGAGCGGAGCTGTCTTTCTGGAGTGTACGGGGTAAGAAGTTGAGGACCAAGGTTCAATTCCCGACATTGGTGTAAATTTTAAACACACTTTTGGTGTTCCCAGCCATTGTAAGACAAGGATATTGCTAACCGTGACTTAAAACCTTGAACTGTAGGGAGATAGCTGTCTGAAATTGTTTTACCTGCGTTTGGTTGTTGTCAATATCATCCGAGCAGTTAAATATATTAGGAAAAGAGATGTAATTGTTCTCTATGACTTTTAACCAGAGTCATGTTCTGGTGTGCTTTCTTAAACTTGTTTGAAGTTGATCTCATGTCTCGGCATACTACACATATTTATGTATATTTACAGTTTGAATATTTTAGTGTGAGGCACACAGTACTTTAAGATCCAAGACAAGTTTACAATGACACAAACCCATGAGGTGCGAGTGAGGCATTACATTACTAACTTAAGACATCAAGATGCTATCTTTCACTGCATGTGGCTAGACGGGAAGATTGAATCTCAGAGGTAGAAATGGGGGTCTGTATTTACAATAATTACAGCTATCAAGATATTTTTTACATGAGGTGGCTTATTATGGATGGAAAACATATACTATGGGTTCAGAATCGAGGGTAGCGTTAGAACTATAAACCTCCATGTTATTGGTGTGTTAAAGGTGCAAGAACCTAGCTCAGATGCACTGCTTTACACAACAGAGTCTATGGTGCTGCTTGTTGTTGCTCTGCCTGATGATGGTCTTAAAGGAGATAAATGAGGATTGGTTGGCTGCCAGTCAGTGTGTGTGTGAGTGGGGTATCCATGTTAAACACAGTATCACTCAGTGGTCTGGCAGTGGTCTGGACTATTACAAACAGCCACACACATATGCATAACACAATATATGTGCAATACTTTTTCTATATTTCTTATAACAATATTTCCAGTAAGAATACAATCTAGCTTTACAAACTGTTATTTACGCATGTAGATTTCATTGTTGTCACATGCTTTCATCTGACATATTGTGTCCATTGCTTTTAAATGTCAATCAAACTACAATGCTTTCATTGTTCCATGTATTTAATTTCAACTATCTCAAGTTATTAAGATAAGAACCCTTAAGTTCGGGTGCACTGGCGCCTCTGTGTGTTACACATTAATGTCTGTATTTAAATCAAGATGAAATATGAACCTGTCAATCATCCACTGAAATAGGGTTAAAACAGTAGATATTACATCCATGCTTGACATGTGGATGTGATGGATCCCCGTGTTGTTGGAACTTAACTTTGCATTCAAGAAATATCTGGCAACACTCCAATATTTTTTTGCTCATTTTTTAAACAATACATGTTTAATCCGGAACCCAACTCCCCTTCAGAAAACCAATTTTGTCTCAAGGTGATAAGGATCATTTGATTAAAGTGTTTGAAATCGGGTACAGATATGAGATTTTATGTTTGTTTTAACAAATGGTCCCTCTGTTACAGGCCATATCTTAATGTCTGTCTCCTATAAAATATCTTCATATTTACAGTAACATTATAATGAAGGAGAACCACATGGCCAGTAGCATGGTGTGTGCTGATGTAAAGATTTTGAATTATTAATGAATAAACAGACCACCTCGAAGAACGTAAACATATTACTAGCTTTGAAATTTGAGCAGATTATCTCTACCTTCTGTTCATTTAGAAAATGACGGTGAAGCTGTTGTGGTAGACTAACAACTAGTCTCTGAAATTAACATATTTTACTGAAAAAAAATTCATAGTAAACAAACATAAAATATAATGAAAAGGAGCCCTGAGACTTTCTTCATTCGTGAAGCTGAGGAAATCTAGACTTGCCACATTTTCTAGACTTGCGTGGGCTTTCTTGGATATATTTGCTTCAGGGTCTGTATGACAGACTACTGTTGTGGTAGTGATACTACATACTACATGTCCATTGTTCATCCACTCATTAATGGTCCATACTCCAGACAGATTTATTCTTCCATTCTCTCAATTAACTCTACATTATTTTTTTTAACTATCAGCCATTTAAACATTCATTCATTTTATTAAAAAACATCACTTTATCCTTCCTACCAAATATTCATCCAATCAACCAAAATTCATTGTGTCTAGCATTTCAACCATTCGTTTGTTCATTCACTTCCATTTGAGCATTTGTTTATATATTCTATTCTATTCTATTCTACTTTATATATATATATATGCATTTACTCTGTCTACTAAAGGTCCATTTATTTCAATTTTTCAATTACCAATCATCCTTATGTTCAATTTTCTATTTATCCAATATCCTTAAGATCCAACATTTTCTAGTCTCTTTGTAAGAAACCATACTCTAGATCTTGCATTTCCTTGACTGTCTGTATCAATGGATGGATTCAGCTATCTGTTTGTACAGTTTGTATGTACCCCTGTCCCAATACTTTCATCCCAAAGGAGAACTCTTCCATTACAAGGGTATTCATCTTAATCAGGAACAAATACAGTAGTGTAATATTCCATGCCAATAGCAACAGGTGATTTTTCAAGTAATAATATTCTTGCCATTACAGACAGTGATGCATTTCACGTCAACAACAGGTATTTAATGAACGACAATGTATTGATTGTGCACATTACTGCGGTAATTTCACACTGTTTGATGACGCACCTGTCGCAGGTAGCTGTCAGTCAGGAAATAGACAGGAAATGTGCATTGTGCTGCATGTAAATAGCCATTAATGTTTAATTTGTTAGTGACGTTTTCTTTCAATTTCAGGTCCACATGACCAATGTTGATTGCAGTGGCGTAGTTTCTGTTAGATATTCACAAATGTAAACATGTCAAACTATTATGATTAAATG